TGAAAGTGACTGTGATCTACATCCCTGGAGCACAATACACAAAAACTCTTAGAAACCCCCTCACATGTATCAGGCATCAGATGTGCTAGCAAATGAGAATTTTCAAAACTGGATGATTCTCAAAACCTCCAGACCTGTCCATTTGAGGATTTATAAGCTATTTCTGCTATACACTTGTCAAGTTAGGTTCATAACTTCTTTTTCTTCAAACACCTAATGTTCTTTTCTCCTACAAGTATCAGTCTGGCACAGTTTGACACTGATCTGTTAATACAAGGTAAAAGCATCTGGTATTTGCTCAATGAAGCCACTACAGTTGAAATTTAAAGTAGCCTTGTAGAACTTTAAATATCCTCCAGATAAAATGTCAAGAGTTCTCAGAAAATTATTTTTCCTGATTCACCAATGACTCACTCATGGAAGGTAATGCCACTGGTGGATCAAGGAACCCCTGCCCCATATGCCAGTTCTGAATGTTCAGTCCTAAAAAGGCCTGAAAGTTTCCAGTGTGTTCTTTAGGGGGTCATGTGCTGCCATCTAGGAAGTCAGGCTGTGCTGAAAAGACCTCATGAAGAGACCACATGGAGACAGTCAGTGGAGAGACCCTAGAACTATAGGGAGAGAGCAAATGGCCCAGCTGTCCAACCATTCCAGCCAAAGCCAATCTTCCAGCATCGCACTGACACATGAAATACGAAGCCATGTTGTATAGTCAGTACCAGCCTCCCTCTTACTGCAGTCACACAGCAGACCCCAAGCAAGATTCAGAATACCCATCCAGACGAGCCCCAGCCAGTCCACAGAAATAATGAACTTGGCGGTGGTTTCAAGCCATTTTTGCGGGGGAAGATGGCTAGTTAGTTAGCAATAGATAACTGAAAAATCTACAAGAGAATGAAAGGGATTCTGATTCTATATAGTTATGTACCTTTTCTACCCTCTGCACAGCAAATAGTACCTTTTTCCATTAGTCGTCTTCTTCAGAACCACTACTATAGAACACGACATTGCTAACCAAGTTTTCACCTTCCTGTAAAAGATTCTTTAAATCAGATGGATTGGAATCAAGTGCATAAATGTAACAAAGGATCCTAATAGAAACTGATGTTTAAAATAGCTAGGCATCCATATGCATTACTGTTGCTGCTACATTGGCTTCTGTTGCTGGCAAACATAAGGCAGTTGTTCCTCAGAGCTGACTTGCCAACAGAAGGTCAAAACGCCTTGCCTAAACACAAGACTTACAAATTTGGGATCTTAAGTATGATGTCATGTCTTAAAATGATAAGCTGGCAAAGAAAATAAATGGCATTTTGTAAAGATGTGCACCGTTTTCATGTTTACGCTACTTAAGATGAAGGTTCTAATAAGTCATCGGCTATGTTCCTTTAAAGGGAAGTTTTATAACTGAGATGAATCACAACTGCAAAAGATCAAAGTTAAAAAACATCAATGATGCCATGGGGTACTTTTTAATCTTGTAATGAGTGATGATCATGTGCTCTTATGAAGTTAGTCCAACTGCCAACGCCAGATGTGTATATTAAGAAAAGAAGTTGTTTGTGATGTGACAGCACCGGTTCAGCTGCCAGAGAGAGAAAACATAGAAGGAGGAAACCTTTCTGATTTTGAGTGAAAAGCAAGTCTTGGCAGATGTGTTGATAACCAGGGCCTCAGATGGGGGCACTAGTGCCATAGAATCCTCTCTTAGACTTCTCTTTGCTGCAAACAAATTGTGTTTATCATCATTTATGCACAACTGTCCCCAGGCAGCCTGAATACCTGCTTGAGGCATAATTTATAACCATTATTAGTGTCATTTACTAATGAGCAGAAATTAGTAAAGCCATCTGGGGGAAAAATAATACACTAGAGAACAAAATCTAGATGGTATCTATTTCCTGGAAGCATATGCTAAGCGAAACTCTACAGTAAACTTCTGACACTGAGGGAAATTGATGTAGTAATAGCTAACATTTAATAAGTGCTTACTACATGCATGACAGTCACCTTGCTATGATTTTACATACATTACATCATTTAATATCCTTGCGGCAACTGATGAGGTAGATATTGTTCTATTATTCTCTCTTGAACAGATGAAGAAACTGAGGCAAAGAGAAGTTAGGTAACTGGTCTACCACCACACAGCTAGTTAATGGTAGAGCTGGAATTTCACTCCAGACGGTCTGACACCAAAAGCCCACACCCTTCAACATTGCACTATGTGGACTGAAGACCCAGTTAACCCAGAACTTGTCTTTTTTCAAAAGCAAACTTTTCAACTTATATTCTGATCTTTAGAGAAAAGAGTGAAATTCTATTAACAGGAATCAGTAGTATAAAATCTTCAACTCCTTCCAACCACAATGGTAATAAACAGACATATACTGCTTAAATGACAAATAACCACTATTGATAGAATTATAATTGTGTGGGAGAGGAAGCTAAAATAATTACATTTTCTTTTTTTTTTTCTCACTTCAGTCTTTTTCTAAAGCCCTTCTCTGTTAACAGCTGATACTATAAGACACTTCAAAATCTAGAACAAGGGTCAGCAGCTTAACTTGGGCTCCAATTCTGGCTCACCACCTGTTTTTGTAAATAAAGTCATATTGAAACACAGTGACAACCATTCATTTATGTATTGGCTGAGACTGCTTTCAAGCTACAATGGCAGAGTTGAAGACTTGTCACAGAAATCACGGCCTACAGAGCTGAAATTATTTACTATCTGAAATTTTATAGAGAAAGCTTGCCAACTCACGTTCTAGAGGATCCTATTTAACATTGTGTACATGCAACCAATCAAACAAAATCCTATTATACTCACAGTTGAAGAAAATTGAAAATTCTGGGCATTTTCCACACCTGAATCTCACATTTACAGAATACTACTAAACAGAATTACAAACATTCCAGGTCAGGGATGGCCAGGAGCAGGCTAGAGGAGATAATCCAGTAGAATTGTGACATTAAGATGTCACTGATATTAGTTCCATCCTTATAACCAGTCACTGAGTTTGGCAAGTCACCTTATGATGTCAGAGAAATGACATCACATTCTCGCAGATATTTTCAGTTCATGGGAAATGTCATTCAGGTTGATCTAGGGCAGGAATCTGCCACTTACGATCTGTATCTGCTTCCGCCTCCCACCCTTAATAGCACCGAAGGCCTGAACTCAGGGTCACACATCTTCCCTCTATCTCTAACCCCCTTTCCTCCAGAGCACTACTCTGCCTTTACAGGACAGTAAGCCTATCAACATATTAATCCTACCAATAACTTCTCTGGAATGAGGTCAAGCTACTCTCACATGATAGAAAGTGACTTTTCCAAAGCTACTGGCCTCCTCATCTTTTGTCACATCATTTGAATAGGGCAGCCCCCATTCTTCTCTGTTTCCTCTCCCAACCATCAACTTTTAGGCATCAGCTCTTGAGAGTATGGACACAGACACACAGACACACACACAATAATTGTTTTTCCCAGAACTGAAAAAAGGAGCTAAGATCATCGGGAAACATCTTCAAAAGATAAGTTAGCAGTGCTAAATGTTAAACTACTATCCTGCCTTATGCATTACTAAAATGGATAGCCTTGCCTTTTCAGGAATGCAAGGGCCAGTTTGAAAAATTATTAGAAGATATCTTCCATCACAATGCATCATCCCCACTTTGTGGTAGTCCAGGAAAGTCAGGCAAAGCTCCTGCCAGCCGAGACATCCCTACTTTGTTCTATTCACCTGCTCTGCATAATCATTCATCCAGATGGCAGGAGACCTGAGGCAACCAGACACATGTGAATGACAACCACCTAGTAGGACGTGCTCAGACTTAACAGACAAGGCCAGCACTGGCCCAACCTTGTGAACCAAGAAGAAAGCCATACACACAAGAGAAAGGAAACAGAAAAACCTCAAAGACTGGTTTTTGAGGCAGGAAACATTCCTAGTTCAGGCAAGCCATCAGTCCTTGTGAAGAGAGACGGTGGCAAGAGGAACGGAAGGCATCCTACGTTCCCACTGCTAGAAAACAAGCTACACGGGCAAGGCAGCCCGTTTCTCTCCTTTAGGGGAGAAAAGATATGCCACTCTCACTGTCTAGGCAGGTGCATTGTTATATAACAAATATTTCTGCCAGCTGTACCTCCACCACAAACGAAATTAAACTCTCAACACAATGGCTAAGATGCCAATGTAATTCATTCATCAAAGGCAGAGTTCTATTAGATGTTTCCATTGGCACAGAATTTTTAATGCTGTATATATCAAATAATCTTTACTCTCTAAATATATTTAAATACTGCTATACCAAGTTTGTTCAAATCAGTTTGGAGGGGGGACCGGGAGAGAGTAAACCTGTTTCAATTTAGATTTAGGAGGAAAATGCAGCCCAAATGGATTGTGTGCACTATCTTAAATTGATGCTGGTTAAACCTTCTGGATGTCCAGACAGAAAAATAAACCAAAGTGGACTTAAACCTGGTTTGACTCTATCTATAACAATTAACTTGAACATGACCAAACAACAGTGTTGTAACAATCAAGCAAGTTATCATTTGCAAATAAATTCTTTGTAATTAAGCAGTGTGCTCTTTATAAAGGGAATTGAGTGGGCGAGTTAAAAAGTTAAAACACATTCTTAGACCATGGGAAACAAACGCAAATGCTTTTTGACTAAGCTCAAGATTTCTCAGCTTATTGTTTTCTTCTTTAGCTCTCATGGGTCTACCCTGCCCTGTCTATTGTGTACAGTGGATGAGCAGAATTTCTTAGCAAATAGTTACTGTGACTATATAATTGTTCACTCATTTCCCAAAGAGATGGAGGCCTTAGTAATTTGTGGCAAAGGTTAAAACTGTAATTTTGTTTTCTACTAACTGTGAAGTTCTTTCTACTAACTGTCCTTCCTTACAAATATATACAGATGGGATAAACTTCTCGCGGGGTCTCCACAAACTCTATTACCATTTCTAATAAAAAGGCAAGTACTTACTTCTGGGTTCCCGGGGTCCATCCACTGTAACTTTAATAGCTCTGTGATAGGTGGCTACTTGGGGAGGATTTGTGAAGACAGTTATGGTCAAGGTGAAACTCTTGCCTGCGGATGTAAAAGGGGAAAATCCACAGTGAACATTAAAAGATATTATTGATGTTTAATAGAGCAGTCTAGATGTCCAAATTGCATTTAAGCATCTCTAACGAGATAATGAAACAAAGACAAGAGTCTAATTCAGAAACCCTCCGTCACTTTGGGAGTTACTTAATTTGCTGAGCATAAGATTACCATCTTCATTGCAGTACTATACAAGCAGGCGTCAGCAACCCCCCCCCGGCCCCCGAGAAAAAAAGCTGCTCAGTAGCAATAGCTGTAATGAAAACGAAAACCCCGATCCACTTAAGGAGGGTTCTCTCTCCTTTCAGTTTTTTCCAACATCAGGAACACATCCAGCACAGACAATTTTAGAAGTCTTTATTTAGGATTAGGTCACGACCCCATGAGAGAACAATAGTAAATCACTGTTGATTATGTTATTTACTTCACATGGCTTTAGCATTTCATTTGCTTAACTGCACTACAATAAGAAGATGAAAGAGGACGGTTCTTATGGGAATCATTTTAACAGGAGCCAGTGTCTCCTGTCCTGGCCTTAATGTGCCTGTGGTATGATGATTTCATCATTACTGGAACAAAGTTTTTCTCCTCCCCGCCCCCCTCCCCTAACATACCTCCTTGCTGTTAAATCTTTAAATAACTCTCTCCCTGACAGTTACTTGCTTTTTGCTAAATGTGCATGACGTCTCCCAATATAAATATAAATTTTTACTTTTAGCAGAAGGTGCTCTTCATAGAAATATCACATCTGATGTTTCAAATAAATGAGCTAAAGGTGATGAATGGGGGGTGGAGGGAGGACAGGGAAAAATTTGGTAGCAGATTTGGAGGTTTGCTTTCTCCAGAAGAAGATAGACTCTGTTATACAGACTCACTGACAGTTGTAATCAGTTAGATTTGCAACGGTTAGTCATGTCAGATAGTCAAAACTGCAAACTGTTACAAGACAGGAAAAGGTGGGCGTGAAACAGTGACTCAATAAAACATTCAGCAATCTCAGGCCAGAGTATTCATTTAGCCTGCTCCTATAACGGACCTTTAAAAAGCTCATTTTAGTTTGCTTTGTTTTTTGGTCAGAGACTGTTTTTCCCTTTACTGAGGGCTGAGGGTATTAAATCAAAACACAAATCTTAAACAATATGTAGCAATGCAAAGTTTAATGCAATCTTTTCAAAGCTTAATATGGAACAGGTTATATTCAAAACTTAATGTAGAACAGGTCTTTGGCTGTCAAGTCTAGTGAATGGGTTTTGTTTTCAACCCAAACCATGTAAGTTCCTAAAATATGTTTAAAACACACATCATTTGTTACTCAGTATCTATAGTTTTAAGTCTCTTTGGCTATACTTTTCCATGGCCAAGAAGAAAAAAGAAAAAAAAAGAAAGGAAAGACAGGAATTGGGCAGGAGGGTGGGGGGAGGAAACAGGGAAAGATGGATATTGATTAGAAACCTAGTAAATGCCTGTCACTCATACACGTCATCTCATTTAATCCTACCCAGTTGGGTTTATCACCCCCATTTCACAAATGAGGAATCTGAAGCCCAGAGAGGCTTAGTAATTTATTCACATAAGTAATTAAGTAGAAAATATCAGGATCTAAACAGAGGTCTTCTAGACTTTAAAATTTAATGTTAGATAAAAATGCTCTTATTTTAATTTTTCCAGAGATCATTAAAGAAAACTAATAGGTAAATTATTTCTACATGTGCCCCAATCAGTTCTATAAGATCAAAACAGTAAATAGAATCTACTAAGGTAGTATCTTAGTAGATAAGATGAGAACATTTTATTTCAACATATCATAGGTACACCAAATTTCATCCACATGTATTGGATGCTACATGGAATTAAGTAATTTAATTGTCTGGTTAGAGAACAATGTTTTTGTTGTTGCTGGGTTTTGTTTTTTACAAACATTAAGAATAACCAGAAGAATAAGGCAGCCAGCAGTCTAAACTAGTTACAGAAAATTGAAAAATGTACAGAAATGGAGATTAGAAAGTTGAACAGGAAGCCACTGGATTCAGATCAGGCCCTGCAAACAATGGAGAGATCTGTAGGGATAAACCAACTGTAAATTGAAAGTTGGGCCTCCCCGGTGGCTCAGCCAGTTGAGTGCCGCACTGTGAAGCTGTCCATAGCCTCTGCAGCACGGGTTCGATTCCCGGCCCGCCAGGGAGAAACCCACATGGTGTGGCAGACCTCTCCTGCCTCGCCTGCTGCTCCCCTCAGCAGTGTCTTTGGTCCATCTGTCTGTTCTGCTCCCTGCTCTGTCTCTGGTGAATCCTCTCACCCTCCCGCACCTCTGACCTGTACCCCAGTTCTTGTATAAATAAAAAAAACTCTTAAAAAAAAGTTGATTTATATTAAAAAGATGCCATTTAGCCAAGATTGATCCCAGAGCCAAGACTGCATTTCTAACAGTGGCTCCAAAGGCGCGCTTAGAAGACAGCTATCATCCAAGCACCCATCCTAACAAATCAGGGGTGTCTATCTCTCAATTGTCCTTAATGTCATAAATAACCTGCCAAAGATTCTGCCCATTCATTATCTAAACTGGTTCTGAGAATATTCCTAGGATATTCTTTAAATATCACCTAGGATATTTAAAGTTATCAATGCTTCTCCTAAATGTAGAGAAACACTTCATGAAGGAACAAAGCCAATTATAAAATTAACTCTATGGTATAAAAAGCATCTAAATGTTCAAAGCAGCAGTAGTTTTCAATAGAGTTCTTTTTCAAAAGAGATAGGTTTGGGGAAAGGAAACAAATATTTAAGCATAACGATGGTCTCCTACAATCAAATCCCAGGAAATCAATATGTAGTTTAAACAACTAAAACAAAAATCAAGGAGTTGCCTTCTATTTCTTATTGCCCCTTCAGAAGAAACATGAATATAAAGTTCAGGAAGCCTCCAGAAACTACTACCCAACTAGGTAATTGGTTCTTTAACTTATAATAATGATCCATTTCCTAAATCAAATGATTTTGTGGGCATTCACTATTTCCTCATATAAAAACTTTATCCAGCTTTCATTTTTATCATTTTCCGTAAGCGATAAAAATGGAGGCTCCTATTTAAAAATGCTGGTTCTTAGGAAGCCAGGAGTCATTAAACAACTGTATCATCCATGGCTTTATCTGAGAACTAGTTCTGGAACATGTCCTCAAATCATGAATTTTCTAATATAACAGAAACTGTCATTAAAAGACAATTCCAGGGCCTCCCCTGGTGGCACAGCGGTTGAACGCTGGGCTGCGAAGCTGCCTGCAGTCTCTGCAGCGCCGGTTTGATCCCCAGCTGCTGGCAAGGGTCCCACATGGCGTGCAGACCTCTCCTGCCGTGCCCGCTGCTCCCCTCAGCCGTGTATTTCATCAGTCTGCCTGTTCTGTTCCCTGCTCTGGCTCTGGTGAATTCTCTCACTGCGCTTCTGACTGTACCCAGTGCTTGTATAAATAAATAAATAAATTTTTAACAAAAAAAAAAAATAGACAATTCCAACTCAGCCTGAGGGGCTGTCAGGAATATTCAGGGAGGGAAGACTATAAGCAGGAATTTGTACCATGCCCTGTACACTATAGGTACTTAAAAATACTTATAAATTAAAAGCAGCATGTTCGATGTCAAAAGCGGGAAGCACACCAAGAAAACTCAAGGACCAAAGTCATTTTAAACACTTCTTCAAAATATAAAGGAGAAAAAAAAAGTTAAAACCACACGCCACCCATAACTTAATGCACGTTTCATTGATGTTCTACTTTTACTGCAAAACATTTCCTTAAGACACACTCATCAGATGACACCAATGCCAAAGTCCTGATGTGGCTCCATTATAGATCTGAAACGGTTTTTCAATTTCTGAGAGTTTATATTTCTACCAGAGAAAAGAAGGAGTATAACATTCCAGGAACTTTGGTGTTTTTTTTATTTTTGAATGCTACTGAAAATAGAAAATTTAAGTAGCTGGTGGGGGGGGGGAATGCAATGGTAACAGCGTGTTTGATACAGACTTAATCACTGAAGAGAAATGTAGAAGTTGTGAAAACCAAAGAGGAAGCTGGAAAGCGGGTCAGGTACACAGGCAGGTTAAAAGGTTTCCTGACACTGAAAAACTGACCCTTATTTCATCAGAGTGATATCTCTTATCAGTGCTGTCTTTTTTTTTCCTCTTCATTTCAGTTTGATACTACCATTTCCTTTCACAAAATGTTAATGTAGTGATACTAAAATCTATTATTAGTGATAAATCAATTTTTCTTTCTCTCTCCACCCGCTCCCCCTCACCCCCAATCTAAGTCTCGAAGACAAGTCTGGACCAATTTCTCCATCCTGCCTCTGGCAGCAGACTGTAGCATTTCAGATCCTCCACCAAGTCCCGGCTGCTTCAAAGGAAAAATCCTACTTTCTTCAGTTAAGATCATAAGAAATATAGGGGGAGGGGGTCAGCTCTGTTTGGACATAATTACACTTCATCAAAAGAAGCTTTCTTCATCTTCCATGCGTGAAAAGTCTGCAAGCAGTTAAGTCTGTCTTTTTTTTTTTTTAAATATAAAAATTGCTATTTGGGAAACCAGCCAAAACTCAGAAAGCCAATATAGTAAAACAGTGCACACCCTTTGTTTCTCTTTGAAGTTTCTAAAATAAATATGTTGAGGGTTTACAAAGTACACTATCACTTTGCCATAGTTTCTACTCAAATTGATCAGAGAAAAGTTATACAGCATCTCTATAATACAAATGCAAGATAAATGAAAACACTAGCTTGAACCTGTAAAGTAAAATAAAGTATAGCTTCAAACTTTTAAAAATGAAATTCATTACTCAAGTTAAAAAAAAAGTAATAGTACATAAGAAGATTCAATTCAGAGCATACAGGTAAATCTTCATGTTCAGATATTTCTTCTTACCAGAAAAAGAGAAGCTTTAATTGTACAATGGACCTGCAGCAGAGGCTGAGAGGGATGAGGGGGAGAGGGAACGGATGAATATATACACATACACACTTCACACCTAATCATTCAATAGTGAGATTAGGATGTGTCTTTTTTTTTCTTTTAATGAAAGTAAACTAAAACCTGATGCAGAGATAACCCCTTTAGTTTTGATTCCATCAGAGGCTCTGAGCCTCACTTTATTTCAAACAACCTTTCAGTGACAGTATCTCATTAGCATGCATCATTTTTTTTAAATAAAAAAGTACAACTTCTTGGCCCTGTTCCTAGAAAGTAAACTAAAACTACTCGTCGGAAACAGCCTTGCTTGAATTTCCCTTATCAAGTTTTTACAATGGCAATAATTTGACATCTGATCCAAACTAAAGAGCAATTATTAGACATGGTTTAAAAATTGATACTTCTCATTTCCTAATTCAAACTTGGGTTGAAGTAATTCCATGGGTTCTGCAATTTATTTCACCTTGGTCCTAGTGGACTATTTTTCTCTCTTTCTTATGGAATACTTAAAATAATAGATTCAACAAATAAATAAATGAACATCATACTTACAATGGATGACTATTAACAGACTCTCTATAGAATAAGTAAATAAAACCCAAAATATTAGTATCCTTACAGGCTGCTTCTTAAAATACTAACCCCCTTTATGAAATAGCTGTGACACCCTAAAAAGAAATATTTTCTATTTTGTGTGATCTTTTAAGGAATTCTAATATTTGTTTATGGATCCAGATGGCAGAACCCCTTAAGTACTGTGGAAATTGAGTCCCAATCATTCATCTGTGTAGGCAGCTCTCTATAGTCATTCTAACATAAGTAATACATTATTCACTTAGTCAAATGAAAAGTCTTCTGTAAAAGACTATGATTTTTAAATAGATTCTAATTATGAGTAAATCAAATCAGATTTACACAGAGGTAATGTATAATAAATGACAAGCATTGTGCTAGTTATCCTTGTAACAACTGAGAGCAAAATTGCTATCATCAGGAAATTGATCCAATGTATTCAGTTATCTTTCCCCTTTTGCCACTCAATTTTCTCAGTTATTTCACTCCTCATAATTGAGAATTTGAGCTTTCAATTTGTTCGCTCTACCTTACATGCTCACATCCAGCAAAATCAGGAGTTAGTCCTTCTGAAAGCACTGAATCTTCAATTTCACTTTTGAAAAATGAAAGAGGAGTGAGTACTCAGAAAAACACTCAACTTCATCTGGATGCCTTTAAATAAAATTTTCAGTTATTCTATGCAGTAAAAGAAGGTGCTGGTCTGTATAAAGACTAGCCTTCTTGTCCATCAGAGGATCTTAACGTGTTTATTCCATTATCATTATTAAAAGTCAGAGACCTACCTCGTCCACTCCGGCCCACAAATCTCAGATCGTTGAACCTTGCTACTTGGTTTTTCATAACAGCAGAGGCATTTCGGAGCTCAGCAGAATAATTTTCATCGTTACCCGCCATGACAGTAACCACAGTCCCATCTGGTACCTCTCCGAGGGCTACCACCTACATAAAACAGGAAACACAGCAGCAATAATGGCATATCAGAAAAGCTTAAAAACTGAGAATACAGTTTCATTGTGAGTGATGTGTCTTATCAGGACTTGGTACTCTAGTCCAATAATGGTCGACAGGAATGAGGCATCTGCATATGGATTGAGATGCCACTTCAAACAGACCAATGTTTCAGGGTCCACCCATTTCAAAGGCAGGCAAAAGTTTCCTTCATTTGTTGTTGGATTCTTCACAGAGTACATGTACATTTTTATTAAATCCCCATGTTAGGTTGTCCATAGGAATTATGCCACAGAAAGAAGGCTGATGTCCCATCTGCAGATTGCATTGTACACATTAAGGCACCGCCTGTCTGCAGCCGGGGCGCCCTGAGGTGTGGTCTCATCAGGATCACAGGCTAAAAAAGAGAAAGTCTGGTCAGCTCCATGGGAGAAGATGATTAGGTGAAACCTTGCTGACTATACAGAAGCCTAAATAGGATATGATACCCAAGACTACATTTCATCTCCTTACTTGGGGTTAGATATTCAGTTTTTAATTTAAGAATATTTACTGAATATCCACTCTGCAGTGGGACCCAGGGGGATATACAAGTCCATCAAAAGCTTAAAGTCTAGGTAAAAAAGGACTGAAAATTGTCGATGACCAATAATCAATATGCTGACAAGTGGTACAGATAGAAAATATACCCTTAGTCAAACTACTACCCTGTCTTGGAATGGCAAATTTGCCTCCTTAATCTTCAACAACTGAGGTTGACTGACTCAGTCAAGTAAGGGCCCAGGATAATTAGTCTTTGAGGCTAATAAACATTTTCACTGCTCCAAGGATAGGGATTACACTTTTAACCAGGGTTGTTTAACATGCAAATGAGTACTTGTGATTAACATGCAGCCTGGTAAAGGAAAGTCAATACAGGGGCTTCACTGCCAGGTATAACCAACCCATTACCAAAACCCTTCCCTTCAATAACATTCCTTTCTCTCCAGCAACTTGCACAATTCTATATTCAGAATATTACCATCTCTTCCTCACTCAGTTTCCTGATGCTCATGTGGTCACTGAGCAGTGACTAGTAGTTAGAGTAGCCCACTACTTTCTGACATTAACACCCATGTATGCTTGCTGTCCTGGCAAATATCCTACTCTTCCTTCCACATCTAGTGCTACTCCCACCCCTATCAAGATTTCCATAAGGCAAACCTAAGCATTTAATTCCATGTTCCCATTACAGTTTGTACATACTCTCATTAAAACAGATTTCCTATCCTGTGATGAAACAGACACCGTCACTATAATTTGGGGCTGAATATCCCCCACCCATGAGCCCTACCCTAACAATCCACCATCACAACCTCTGCTCCAGCAGAAAACAACCAAACAAAAAAACTTGTCAATTTTTTTTCCAGCTTTATATTGTTTTTTCTTAGGCTGTTTCTCGCCTCAATTCTTTTCTTTAGCACTTTCTTGTTCAGATTAAAATCACAAAGTTTTCCTGAAATGATAGAAACCATTTCCACAGAATCCACTCCATATTTCAATGTACATATGTCAGTGATCTGCCTGCCCCTTTGGATATGCCAGCCCAAAGCTGTGTGGCCAGGACTCCAGGTAATATTATACTGGAGACTACATAAGAGAAGGGCCTTTCATCTATCTCTTCACCACTAGTTACCCAGTTCCCAAAACAGTGTCCAGCACACAGTAAGTGCTTAACAAGTATTCTTGAAATAAATAAATAAATAAATAAATAAATAAACAAGCACCACTTCCCACAGCTCCCCAAATGCCTCCAGCTAAAATTCTGAAAAAACAGCAATCATCATGGTGCCCTTGCTCCAAACTAGTCTTTGCCAACTTTTTCTGACCCTGGGTAGAGGAAATCCAGGTGAGTATCCCCACCCAATTATATGGGTATTCCATTCAATGTGAGAAGTCTCCTAGATCAAAGATGACTCCCTTGTGAATATAACTTCCTCCCTGCACACTTGATCTAGTGCCTCAAGAGGCAACTAATCTAGGTAATGCTAGATTTAGAAAGCGATGTGCTTTCAAATTCACCATGACCCAAAAGTGAATATTTGAAAATATTGAAATAATTGACTATGTTTGCCAGTATTGATCTGAATATTTGACCTTTTTTACACTCAGCATACTGCGTTTTAAGACCTGCTGAGTGGCTTTCTGTGTCAAAGTAAATATGGAATTTAATAGTAAAAACATTGATGAACGCAAGAAAAATTATACTGCTTAGAAGAGAACGAATGCACAAAAATTCAAGGGCCCTCACTTTTTTCCCCACCTCTGTTGCATCTGCTATGCCTTCCCAGAAGGAACTGCATCTCCAGGACCACAGTTTTCAAATATAAACTAGAAATAATTTTTTAAGTCTATAAAATGTTGAAGATATTATATAACTATACAGTGTAATTGCAGTGATGTACTTTTTGTAAAACAAGGAGGTTAACTTCTGTTTCTTGTCTTCTGGGTGCTAAACATAGACTGTGACTTATAAACATCCTTAAAAGGTTCAATTGAATATGTAATTCTTCACTTCATGTTTTGAGATGGTTTTAAGTGTTGCTGAGGGGTAACGGATGACTGCCGATGGGTTCTCTCCAGTCTGACTAAATTTCAGGGAAAAAGTAAAGAAAGCTGTCCCATTATAAAAATTTCAAGAGTTCTGGGACATTATTATTTTACTGAATATTTTTAACATAATGGATTTCTTTTTAGCTAGAAGAAAAGGAAAATTGATTCAATATGGGAAAATATGAAAGAAAAGATCCCTAAGAGTGAAATACATAAATCCATTTTACTTTTCTTAAGCAGCCTAATAATGGCCATATTAAATATCCGCATGTTTTACGTATTACACTTAATAACAAAACAAGTAGGTAATCACAAATTGTATAGGTCTTCTAGGAGGCTTAAAACCCGATCTGAAAAAAAAAAAAAATGCTAACTAATAAGGTATAACGACAACTTTTCCTGTTATAGCTGAACTATATTTCAATGGGCAAATAAATTATTTCTTTTTCTGCTATTCACCCTACCAAACAGATTGCTTAATGTTTTTTCTGAGGGAGAAAAAAAAAAAGCAGGGATAGTATTGTATTTGACTACATATCAATCAGAAGAGTAATTACATGTTTGAAGCTTTAAAGAAAAAAAAAAAAGTAGATCTCTGACTAAAAAAGGTTCCCTTGGAAATTCTCAACTGTGTTTATCTAAGAGAAAAACAGAAGAATCAAGAAATTTTTACACATTTCATCTGTACCAAACCCAAGCAATGGAAAACATTTGAAGAGGCAGAGAACAATCAAAAATTGCTTTTACTAGTTAGGAATAAGCATGCATTAATATTTGTTTCCATAGAATTCCAACACAAATGTTTGTTTTGCAAAAAAATAATTTGTGATGAACTCTTTAACATTTATATTTAAAATAGTAAACCTACAAATTCAAACACTTCATGGGAAAGAGGGAAGTAAATTCATATCCTGACATTTCAGAAAACAGAAAGAAGTTCCTTTATTCAGCACACCTCACTATAATTAGCATTTAAATCTCATGCTATGGAGCTTGTACAAAATAAAGTAAAAGGATACTGAATTTTAGAAATGCTTTTGAAATTCTGTATGAGATTCCTTATAAGTAAATCTGTACTCTAAGAGAGGAGAATTAACTTGGACCCTTAAATTTGTTTTTATGGTCTTATTGTGAGAAAATTAAAATTCCCCATGACATTTCCATTGACAGAGATGAGTCTAATCTGATCTATTACTTTCACAGACCAATATTATCTGGCATATTGTACTTGCAGAAAAATTGAAATATGGGTATTTTTCCAGATAGAATATGATCAAATCTTTCTTTGCAGTAAAAAGAGAGATAAAGGGGTAACTGCAAAAAAAGGAAAAAATTTATTCCTATGGAAAGTATTTTAAAATAACCTTAAAGGAACTATCAAAGAGTTCCACAAATAGTATAGTAATTTTTAGAATTTAACCTAGAATTTAGGAAGTCCCACTTAAATTGTAGAACTATAGAAAAAAAAATACAATATAAAACATTTCATAATTTTTAAAGTATATGTCAAAGAGAAATTGATGGTAATTAGTTCAATTTAACTGGGGAATGTAACATGTTTCAAGCTGATTTAGATCAACTAACAATGGTTAGATCCTTTAGCATCTGAAATTTTGAAATGATACAAACAGCAATGTCAAAGGAGAAAAAATAATGAAAGATATCATATCATGCCTATTTTCAAATGTTTTCTAAGAAATTTTCAGGATTTATTTTCCATCTAAAATTATTGATTTCCATTATTTCACAGTAAGTTTTACATAAATAAATCCTAAAATTTTTATTGCATTTAGTGGTATAATGCAAAAACTTATGTCTTCATCATTTGGGCTCCATTGTGATTTACATAATTTTGCCTAACAATGTATATTTGGTTGAATGATTTTTTAAACAGGTCTAATAACTTGTTTTCCTTTCTTTGGGTATAGTGAAATATAAAAAGATACAAACATAAAATCTGATTATTAAATATGTAAGGAAAATGCAATTTACTAGTGTCAAATATTTATTAGTTGCATACTTGTTTTTGAAGACAAAAATGGCCAGTGATGTTGAAAAAGTTATTTTCAAATAGAAATTAGTTCATCATTGTGAAACCTTACTTATGACAAATACTGAAAGGTATCATTAAATATACAAAATTAACTATGAGTAATAGATTATATATCTTAAAATGTGTTTTCTTTCTTTAGCACTGCCAGAAAAACATATGATATTGGTAAATATACGGTCCAGTGTTCTCTAACTTAAGCAGTGGAATAGTTTTGCACTACTTTTAGTTTTAAAATATACATCTGGACTTAAAATTTCTACATAGTGTTTCAGCTTGAAGCTCTTTAAAGCAACCGAGTTATGAATCCTGAGCACCAGGCTTCATGGTGGAAATGCTGACAGACCCCCTAACTCTATGGGTGCTACTGGATGCAGGGTTGACATGCTCTCACCACTGTTCTACCTGATCATTAATGAACAAACTTGGCAAACTGCTGTATGTCACCAGAATTATCTAGGACAGAAAGGGTCCTAACTATTTTAAGCTTTCGGTGAGTTACAGCTGAGAGAAATGTTAAAAATATATGTATTTCCATTTCCTTGACACCTGGGAGGACTGAACATTTCAAAACTGCAGATCTTTGTTAAAAATACAATGTCAATAAGCAATGCCACTTATTTTAAAGTATACTAGTTTATGCAATTTTTATATGCTGAGTATAAAGGAATTAAGTATCCTTGTCTAATCCCAAAACAAGGGAAGATGAGCACCACCAATACATTACATACATCTTGATATCATCCAATATCATTTTGATGCACTATGTTAAATCAGCATATCAAAACTCAATCTATGGAATTCATTTCTGGTTCTCTCACAGTGCAGAGCAGAGCTCAGTGTCACAGACATTTGGGCTCAATAAATAATTATTGTATTGATTTAACTATCAGACCTCTCAACAATTACATTCTCTCTCTGTTTTTAAATGTATTTCCCTATCTACTACATACCTAACAACACTGTAATTTACTTTGTATACAGCTCTCAAAATGCTAGCCAAACTGCTGTCGCCACTTTTAAAATCGAGGCTTCTTCATATTCTTTCTTCATTGCAGATGTATTTGATTATGTTGCAAGAACTAAGAAAGTCTGCTGTTTTGGGGGCTTTTATCTCAAAAGTAAGGTAAAGAGAAATGTTCCTACTACATTCAAATGAAAACAATAAAGACTGTTGTCAAAATATGATGTTCCAAGTATCTACACATCATTTTTAGCAGAGATAAAACTTCTATATTGAGTGGGTCTTTATTTTACTGGCTATTTGAATTTTGTTAAACACAGGTAGGGGAGTGGGCAAATGCCAAGTCAAGTTTTAGGTTAACTCGAGTCATTATTCAATTGATATTAAAAGTTCAATTTAATGAGGTCATGTGTTACCTATGGCTTTTGTTTGCTGGTTTTAAAGTAAACAACAATACCTATTATTAATAGCAAAGAAAGCAATTTATTTTCAAACAAACTTTTTAAAAATGTAGTAGTAAGAAAACCTAAATAGAACCAGAATATCTAAGAATAGCTCAAACTAAATGGTGTTCTATCTTTATGCCAAAACATCCTTTCTACCCAAAATACTTAATGCTCAAAATTAATTCAGCATCATAACTGTAAGAGCCAGTTACACCTTAAACACATCTACGGGAACAAATCGTGTATCTAATATCAAACAGCTAAATGACATCTTTCAAAACGCATTTTCATATATCCTGATTTGTAGCACCTAGTGTGTTTTATTTGTTATTTCATCACCCTGTTTTTTTGTTTGTGTGTTTATTTGCTGGGGGTTGGGGCGGGGTGTAGGGATGCGGAGATTGGTAAAAACAAATTTCCAATCTCACATAAACCTAATTAGAAAATTCTGGACCTTTGAACAATGAACACTGTACAAGAGATCTCTTGCATGAAAACTGAAGTGTCTACACATATATGAATTTTTCACATTTCAAGGAAGGAAGAAAACATCAACCTACAAAATGGGTGGTTTACAAAAAGAGAAATGTGACGGTTAAAAAGAAAAAACATTTCTTGAGCCAACTACAAAATGAAACTTGCCCCAGAATGCAACATCCCCTTTCCACAACAATTCATTCTGATTTCTGTTCTGATATAAGACCGAGCAAGATAACCAGCTCTAATTGACCTGGACTCCCCTCTCTTTCCACCCCACCCACACACGGAATCTGAATTGGTGCGTGGGGGGAGGGGTGATCAACAACTGGGAACCGCCAGTGGCCCGTGGGAGTTTGGCCCCAGGGTCCACAATGAAGGAGTTGGCATGATTCCTTCCTTTTTTTCTTACCCCAGGGCCTTGCTTGCCCTGCTCTCCATAGATCCCATAACCCAGGGGATCCACCTTCACGAGTTCAGAGGCCAGACCCGGCCGGAAGCATCTTTCCAGAGGGCTCGGGTCCCTGTCAGGCTCACCGCCCCCTCCATGCCCCGCGCCCAGCCCCGCCAGGGAAGACGGCCCGGGAAACCATCTCCCCATCACTTAGGCTCAGTATCTGCCCCGGGGCTCCGCGTCTCCCCCTGGCGAGGACTGCGCGGGGAAGTCCCGGTGCTGTTTAGGAGGCCCACGAGAGGGCCCCGACCTGCCCCCTCAGCGCGCCCTGCCCCTGCCCCTGCCCGCGCCTCGCCCGCGGACACCGTCCCTCAGACTAACGGGCCGGGCGCGCGGAGGAGGCCGCGGGGCGCGCGCCCACACCCCAGGGGTCACTCCGTTTGCGCCCAGGTCACGGGCCCTCGCTTCCCACCACTCTTCAGAAGCAGGAAAGACCTTTGGGGTTTAATTCCTTCAAAAGCAATAAGACCAATCCGCAACACTTCACCTCAGTTTTCAAGGTGGGCGAACCGAAGGCGTTTCACAGGTTCCCCCCGTCCCTCCCAGACCCGGCGCGGCGAGGCGCCCGGTCCCGGCCGCAGAGACCTCGCGAGCTCCCGCCTCCCGTCTGGGCCCGCGCCTCCCCGCGATCCAGAGTCCAGACCCCGGCACTCCCGGCCCCGGGGCTCCCCTGCGGCGGGCGCGCCACAGCCCCGCCTTCCTCCCGATAACGGAAACTGGCCCGGGTCTGCCAGCCGACTCTACGCCCCCGCTTCTCTACCCGCCAGCGCTCCGCGAGTCCCCCATCTGGCCAGGGACCCTCTCGGACCCTCACCACAAATGCAGCCCACGCGCCGCGGCGGGCACCCGGCGCCCCGCCCCGGACTTGAACGCCCCGCATGGCACCCCACAAACCCCGGCCCCCGCGCCTGGGAGGGGTCGGGGCTGCCAGGCTCCCGCGGGTCAGAGAAGGGGGCGCGCAGAAGGGCGGAGGGCACGCGCGTGCGGAATCCCGGGGAGGCGCGGCGCCGGCAGCCCGCGGAGAGGGGCCCGCCCGGAGGCGGGCGAGGGGGACGCGGGCGTCCCGGGGCGGAAAGCCGGGGGTCCTGGCCTCTGGGGAGCGGGGACGGGCTGGCGCATATCAGAGTGGCGGCGTCAGGACTGGGCACCTGGAGTCCGGGGTGGGGGCGGGGAGGCGGCCGAGAGGAGTGGGTTCGCGCGCGGCCGGGGAGGCTCGCGGGGCGATGACCCGGTCAAGGGGACCAGGGCTGAGGGGGTGGCTGCAGGCACAGGTGGGACAGGAGCTGCGCGAGGTCGCTGGGCTGAGCACGCGAGGGCCCCCGAGAGGGAGGGTCGGGGGTCTCTCGCGTCGGGACCGCCTCGGGAGGAGGTCTCGGAGGCCGGCGGGGCCCGGGCCGCGGCCACGCGGAGACCCCGCGGGAAGGTCCCGCGGCGCCGGGCCGGGACCGGGGCCGGGGGGGGGGGGGGCGGCCGCAGCGTCTTACCTTGAAGGCCACGGGCAGGGTCTTGTTGCAGCGCCAGTGCGAGGGCAGCACAGAGCACAGGAAGTTGGGGCTGTCGGTGCGGACGAGTTCGGCCGGGTGGTCGGCGATGATCTCCACCATCGTGCGGTTGTCGTGCGGCGGCCGCAACCGGGGCACAGCGGCCACCGCAGCCGCTGCCGCTGCGGCCGCCGCGGCCGCCTCCTGCTGCTGCTGCTGCTGCTGTTGCTGCTGCTGTTGCTGCTGCTGCTGCTGCTGCTGCTGTTGCGCAGCCACCACCGGGCTCACGTCGCTCATCTTGCCGGGCTGCAGGCTGCTGGAGGGGGGGCTGAAGCGCCGGCTGGTGCTCGGATCTACGGGAATACGCATCACAACAGCCACAAGTTAGCGAAGTGGCCGGGGGAGGGGGAGGAGGGTGGAAATGAGGGGCGAGGAGGAGGAAATTGGGGGGGTGGAGGCGAGACGGGGGAAAGAGGACGGAGGTGATGGGGCTGCAGAGGTGAGAAATCAAGTTCGGTGCAGCCGACTGCCGGGCGGAGTCTGACGGAGCCAGCGGTGGCTTTGCGGAGCAGACGGGTCGGCGGGTGGGAAGACCCTGGAGGCTCAGGTCCTGGCGCGAGACTTTGGAACACCCGGGGTGCCGGCTACGGACGGACGCGGAGATGTGTTTGGCCGGGGGCTTCAGCTTGCAGCTTAGAGGAGGGTCCCTCGGGGCACCACGTCCTGGGTGCGCTGGCGCCCCCGCCCAGTTCGAGTCCAGCGCTGGCGCGGAGTGGGTTCGGCAGGCCAGCCGCGGGGCCCGCGCAGCAGCGCGCTGCCAGCCCCCGCCGCGCCGCGCCGCGCCGCGCGCAGCTCCCCGGCTGCAGGCGTCCGCGCCACTGCCCGCCCGCGCCGCTCCCCCCGCGCCGGCTGCGCGCTCGGATTCCTCCCCCGGCCGGCAGCTGCCGGCCCGGCTCCCCGGCTCCGCGCCTTCCTCTCCCTTCTCTTCTGGCCCGCTCACCGCCTCCTCCTAGCATCCACTCCCTCCTGCTATTTGCAAAGCTCCCCTGACCCTCGCGCTTCGAGGTGCCAGGAGGTAAGTCGCGGGCAGCGGGTCTCCAGCCTGCGAATCGCAGCCGCTGCCGCCGCCCGCCGGCCGCGAGAAGGAGCCCCGGACGCCGAGCGAGCGCAGCTCCCGAAGCCTGGAGAGGCGGCCCTGTCCTCTCGCTTCTCCCCGCTCCCCCCAGGACGGGGAGCCCCCTTTCAGCAGGTCGGAGTTGAAGCGGAGACGCCAGAGAGCCGCGGGCGTCTGTCGTTATTTTTCGTTGTAACTTCAGGAGAGGAAGAAGGAAAATTCTTGAGTGTCTGTGCTGACTTCTCAGCTCGCTTCTCCCTTCCCCCACCCCGACCCTCCCCCCTCCACCTCTGCAAAGAGGCTCCTGGGGGGAAAAGATTTTGCAGGGTTTGGGTGTTTTTTGTCATAAGTGACACCAAAAATGGGGGGGGGGCACTTGTCAAAATACTTTTTAGAAACTCAAATGGGTGACTGAACGCTTTTTCTCCTATATCAAACGTTGTTCTTAGAGAACAAGAGTGAGTTTTGAGGTTTGTTTTTTTTTTTTAAAAGACTAGAAAACTGTCGGTTTGATTAAAATAAGTTGCAAAAATCCTTACTGGGAAAAAAACCAGCAGTTTTCCATGAATTTCAATCTTTTATTACATATTCTGCATCTAAAAACAAATCTAATGTCTTAGCTTTCTTCTCCACCACTCCCTGAGCAAAAAAATAAATAAATAAAAATACCAAATAAAATATTCAAAATGTTTCAATGGCTATTTATTTATGTATTTATTTCCCAGTATGGGTTTTTTAAAAAAGCGACTTTGGATCCCCCAAAAAGTTGTGGTTGAGAGGATGAAGGAGCGCGGAAAAAAAGCGGCAGTTTTACCTAAAATGTGGTTTTTGGAGGCTGGGATTTCTAATGATTAGGTTTTTGTGGTTTATATAGACACGACTCTGGCGAAGGCGATCATTACGCTGATGAGAGTCAGGAGCACGTGGGTGTCTCCGACCAGCCTCAAAACCCGAGCCTTCAAAACAAATAAAACAATGTGCGGCGCCCGCAGAAGCCGGGAAATCCGCTTGAGGCCATTGCACCCCGAAGAAGGGGGCACTGGAACGTTTCCCCTCCGCGCTGTGTACTGCTAACGTGCCTTCCTTGCTGTCAAACTCTCTAAACCGTCCAAAACTCGAAAACGTGTCTGCAAACGATTCATCAGTTGCCAAAGTTTCAGATTCCTGACGGGGTAGCTGACACTAATAAGCGATTTTATAAAATAAATGAAAAATTAGAAGGCCTCCCCTTGGAGTATTAAGAAAGATAGTTGAGTCATCACTCCCCCCCACCCCATCTTATTTAAAGCAATTCACGTACCCATTAAGTGGCGTTTTTTACTGCTCAGCGCAAACGCCTCTCATCCTGGGAGCGACCTGCCACGACCCTCCCTCTCGGTTTTTAAAACTTTGCTTCCACTCGCAGAGCGGGCGTGGGGAGCTGCGCCTTTGAAGGGGCCTGGAATGACTTGGAGAGTGGGCGGCAGCAGAAGAGGGGACTTGTCGCCTGCCACCGACTCTAAAGTCCATGTTAGGGGCTAGATGAACTTGGAGGGGTGTGGTTATAAGATTTGAGGACCAGCATTGCCTTCCAAAAAGATGCGCGGGGGACAGAGGGGCTTTCAACCGCGGGTGCACAGGCCGAGAGGAGGAGCGAGGGGTGCCTAGGCGTGCGCAGTGGTGGGGGTAAGAATGGGGTTCTGGGGACACTGCCCTGTCCTTCCTCTTTGGGGTTGTTTTGTTGTTCGTTTGTTTTTTCAGCTACTCTTTCTCCATTCATCACTCCAAGCCTCCCTCATCAGTCTTTCCCATTACCAGTTTTCTCTTCTCCCCCAAATTCGCCCACATAGGCGGGTGTCCTCGCCGCGCCCCTGTTGCCTCCTCGGCCTTCCCACCGCGACGCCGGGAAGCCTTTAGCAGCACCCGTTAAGACCCTCCCTAATCCTCGCCCCGGGGCCTCCCGGCCTCTGGGCCCGGCACCGCCGGCTTGGGAGACCCCCACTGATCTACCCGAACTCGCCGCGCGGCGACGAGCTGAGCTGTCTCCTGCGCTTGAGATTTTTAATTATCTTTTCGGTCACAGGGGAGAGCTCTAACCCCGGGCACCGGCGCGCCGCGTGCGCGCACAGGGTCGAATCTTCCCGAGCCGCCGGCTGCTGCCCGCGAAGGGAAGCCAGGCTTCGTCTTCCAAAAAGAGAGAGACTGCATCCATTACTGTCCTACCTGATAAACCCACTCGCCAGCACCCGGCACACTCTGGCACATGCATCCGCTGACACCCATGAATACACGTCCACAATGTGCAAGCACAACCACGGTTCCCCCACCACCTCAATTATTATATATTTTTTTTTTTTGGTCTTTTTTTTTTTTTGGTCTTCTATTTGGGCGCGCTGGACCTCTGTCTATCAAAGATCTCTGACTTGTTTTGTTTTTTAAGGTGTGGGGGGCAGCAAAGAAGGGGAGAAGTTACAGGAAGTGGATTGTTTCTGTGACCAAAAGGTGGTAGAAATTGAGTTACTACCACAGTAGGTGATATGCTGCCATTCTGGGGTTGTCCTCCTGCAGGAAAGTCCACAGAACAGGGAACTCCCAGATTTTTTGAAGAGGCTGAGTAACAGTCAATATTTCAAATATGGGCAACCAGACGGTTTTGGTTTTTGTTTTTTTGTTTTTGTTTTTTTTAAATGAAAAACTTTAGGCAGTTTAAACTTAAGTAATTTTCTCAGGGACTTTTTCTTTCTCCATCTCTGTTTTGCACTTTCTTTGTTTTACTCGGTGGATAGCAAAATATACAGGCCTGTATGGTTGGATGCCTTAACTGGGGGAGTGGGGCGGTTAAAGGTGATTTAATCAATGGTGAATTATTTATTTTAATTAACCATATCCGGTAATTCAGCTTTAATGGCCTTCCTTGGGCATCTTCCCCTCCATTTCACATTTCAATGAAACTAATATAAGCAGCTCTTGGAAGTTACTAGTCTTGGATCCCTTAAAATATCCTACAGTTATTTATAATGTGGAAATGAAATTTTCCACTGAATACCCTAACAACGTTTCAGGTATCTGGCAGAGCCGATTTTCGGTCTCCTTTCAAAAATATCCTCTTGCTAAACATTCACACTTTCAACTGAAACTGACTGAGCCTGGAACTGATGTTATCTTGGCTCGAGGTATAATATTTAAAGGAAGAAAACATTTTTACAGACCCCTACACCGAACCTCTCCTGGAAATAGTAGACACATAGGAAAATCATGAAAATTTACATTTGTGTATTTTTATGCTATAGTTTGTATGACCTCATTCTTAGGTTTAGGTTTTTTTTCCCCTAGCCCCAAATGTGCAAACAGCCCACTAGAGTCCTCTTCAGAAGAATCTGCCTTTTCTGTTATCTGCTATGACATTGAAAATATATACATTTTTCTGAAAATGTGGCTACTCTAGGTGATAAAGCATAGTTTCCCTTCCATGTCCTTTAACATTTAATATAGCTATTGGTGATGATACCTGGCAATCCTAACTTTCTAGACAAAATGAAATGTGAAAATATCCAGTTATTTATCTAGTCAACAAAATGAATTCCTCAAACTGGACACAGAATCCATACTTCCTTCCCTCAGGTTTCATCTTCTAACCCCTACACATTGTTTTATACATACTGTTTTTTTTATATAGGGCCTTTTTCACCTTTCATCTGTGAAATATCTGGATGAAAAGTAAAAATCACTAAAAATGTTAAAATAATTTCAATGGACCAACTAACTAATAAAGTGGGACAAATTTACAAATGTGCAATGGAAAATCATGAACGTATTAATGATCCCTAACATTTTTAATTTGTTGGTTCTTTCTAAATAGAACCACCTTTAGAGTTTTCCTTTGGACTGTGATTGAGTGAAAGTTATCCAGCCCTGGGAGATGTAGAACTGCTGCTAAACCAGCTAGACCATACTCTAGACCATAGGCCAAATCTGGCTTGTTGTCTATTTTTGTATGACCTACAAGTTAAGAATGGATTTTGAAGTAATTGAAAATTGTAAAGAATAATAATATTCATGATGCATGAAAATGATATGAAATTCAATTTTCAGTCTCCATAGTTTTATTGGAACACAGCTATGTTCATTTGATTCTGTACTGTCTGTAGCTGCCTTCACCTATAATAGCAGAATCATGTAGTTATGACAAAGATTGTATGCCCTGAAAAAGTCTGAAATATTTGATATGTGATTTTTACAGGAAAAAAATTCAAATTCTTCCCCTAAAATAAAAGGGATATAGAATGGGAACATGAGATAGCAGAAGGGAGTAGATGATAAAGAAAATACTGGAATGGAGTGTGGGTAAAGGGTCCAGATTAGTTTTTCTAAGGGAAAAATGCATCTTTTAACTTATTTTCTGAATAAAATGTAAATCAAGTAGACTTGTTTTTCACTGAAAAATTCTGGATGTGACAAGACAGTGAGAAAAGAACAAGAAGTTTGTCGTTTTCCAAGAGCTTAAAAACAATCATCTTATACATCTCTATCAACATCTTCTGTTTTCCTTATTGGGATTATGTATAAATGAGAATAGAGGAAAGGAACTATCACGTAGTCTGAACATGAAAATAAAATAGGTAAG